CAAGGTAAATGTAACACGGTAAGCCTTGAGAAGTGTGGTTATTTATTTTTATTATTTTAATGACTTCAAGTGCAAAAATGGTTCCCGACAGTCTTGGATTGGAACTAAGAGAGAAAATTATTTGCGATTACTTAAGTGGAATGTCAAAAAAAAGTATTTGTGATAAATATTGCGTAAAAAAATAGATCGTATCAAGACTATGTTCCAAATATTGTTCCACAGTGAAGTTGGCAGCAGATAACAATGGTGGAAGACCTCGTTCCACCACTTCTAGAGAGAATTTTATGATCGTCAGATCTGTCAAGGAGGATCCCTGGATATCATCAGTTGAGATACAAAAGCAATTATAGCTGCCTGTACGTCAAGTAGCGGGAAAACGCCTTGATTTACATTACTGCCATAAGACTGTGAAGCATGGTGGAGGCAATGTAATTGTCTGGAGGTGTTTTTCTGCTAACGGTCTAGGTTTAATACATCGAATCGATGGAATAATGGACTGTTTCATGTATAAAAATATCCTGAAAGATGTTATGTTACCTCATGCTGAATGGAATATACCAGTAAAATGGGTTTTTCAGCAAGACAACGATTCCAAACACACTGCAAAAGTAGTCAAGCAGTGGTTTCAAGACAACCATCTATTGGTGATGGATTGGCCGCCTCAATCTCCGGATCTCAACCCTATCGAGAACCTGTGGGAGATCATTAACCGCAGAGTTAATCGTGAATGTGTTCGTAATAAGGATGAACTGTTTGAACAAATCCAAAAGGCCTTGACAGCAATTCCACAAAGTTTCATTGATCACTTGATCGAATCTATGCCTTAAAGATGCAAGGCTGTGATCGACAACAAAGGATTCACCACAAAATATTGATAGCAAAATACAGCTTGGTCAACATTTTGTTTAGTTGCACTTGTTTTGTCCAGAAGGAAATCAACTTTTTTTAATACTTTTCATTAATTTATTAATTTTCGTGTACAAATAATGATCTTTGTGATGAATAAAATTTGAAGAACGTTGTCTCTAAACAGTTACATAGTTATTTCTGGAAAAATGCAGCACTTTTATACAAAGAAACTAAATTAGCATCATTTGGTTGCACTGGTTTTGTCCGATACTGTATGTATGTATATATATATATATATATATATATATATATATATATATATATATATATATATATATATATATATATATATATATATATATATATATATATATATATATATATATATTTATATATATATATATGTATATATTATATATATATATATATATATATATATATATATATATATATATATATATATATATATATATATATATATGTATATATATATATATATATATATATATATATATATATATATATATATATATATATATATATATATATATATATATATATATATATATATATATGTATAATATATATATATATATATATATATAATATTTCATAAAAATAGATTCAGAATTCTACATGTCTTTTAAAGTCATTTAAATGTCATTAATGTATATATTTTAGATATTGGCGACGTGGAAGAAAATGTTGACGGCAATGAAGAAATATAGTTTTTTATGTATATTTTTGTGAAATAAAAATTAAGTAATGTTAGTTAAAATGTTTCTTTACTTATTTAATTTAATCCTTTTTTATGACTAATTTAACCGCTGTAACACCTTTGTATCCAACAAGTCCCAGCAAACAAATAGATATCTAAAATGCATCTAATATGCATCTAAAAACTGGTCTAAAAGACGTCTAAATTCACGTCGTGAACGGGACATAAATAGATGTCTATCTTATAGATGTCTTTTAGATACATTTTATTCGACACAAATAAATGCCTAAGATGCATAAAAGATCTGAAATATACATTTAAAGATGTATATTAGATGCATAAAAGAGCTATTATTAGCTAAAAAATTGTCTATTATCTATCTTTTTTAAACGCGCCTTAGACTATTTAAGAGACGTATTTTATACATCTAATATACATCTGGAAGATTTATATTTCACATCTTTTATGCATCTAAGGCAATTATTTGTGTCGAATAAAATGCATCTAAAAGACGTCTATAAGATAGACGTCTATTTATGTCCCGTTCTAGACCTGAATTTAGGCATCTTTTAGACCAGTTTTTAGATGCATATTAGATGCATTTTAGATATCTTTTTGTTTGCTGGGAAAGTGGAGATAGAACAAGATAATTGCAACGTCGTGAACGAGTAAATGTCACGTGGGGGTGGGGGGGGTGCCATTACAACTCTTGCCGACTTCGAAAAAAAAAAAGGTCCTCGTTTTCGAAAATTTGCCGACTGCCATGACGACATTTGCCGACTAACTGTCTAGATTACCGACTAACATATATGGAAAGAGTCGACATTTGCCGACTAACTAGTCAAAAAAGGTCAAATTTGCCAACTAAGGGTCAAACTTGCCGACTAAAATTTATTGATGCGGGGTGTCATACCCCCCGCACCCCCTATAGCGCTGGCCTTAGTCGCGAAATATATGATAAACGAATTTGATTTAAAAGGAGGCGTAAACTTCCTAGTTAAGTTTTCGTCAGCGGTGCACTGTGATAAGACCCCAAGAACACCCAATTAAAAAAATCACATCAAAACACATAGTTATTGTAACAATATTTACCATAAAGTTAAAATAATGTCATAAAAATGAAGTAGGCAAGACTTTTCCTGCATTGTGTAATTTATATTTTTATTTTTTATCTATATTTATTTAAAAAAATATGCAAATAAAATAAATGTATAAACAATAAATCATATATTAAAAGCAAGACTCGATCAATAAACTTAGCATTTAGATAAATATATTAAAAAAAAAACAACATTTTTTTCATTTTTTAATTTCACAGTTATCATGCATTGAATTTTAAAAGCAGAAGCGGATCTAGAATTTTTTTTAATATTTGAATTGAGTAAATTCTCAACTTCAAACATATGTATATTTATACTATATATGTAGTATAAGAATGTTTTTTCCTAAAATTATGCTTATTAAAACAATTGTATCTATATAACAAAAATGCCTTAAAAATTAAAACTCACCCTCCTCAAAGCGAGACGAAAATAATGTTTACAAGGGTATAATTTCTTAACACACTAATGTTTTTTTTCTTTTAACTTTGAATAGTAAATCTCAAACCCTCAAACCCTATTTTATATATATATATATATATATATATATATATATATATATATATATATATATATATATATATATATATATATATATATATATATATATATATATATATATATATATATATAATACAAAAATTACCCAAGCAATACTTACCCAGTAAATAAAATGCAGCATTAATTGTGATTCTTTTACATTGTTCCAAGTATGATATTACGTTGATTATTTTTGGAAAAACCATTTTCTTTTGATACGTTTTACAAACAGTATAATACTTTTCTAAAATAGAAAAATCGTTTCTCAACATTGTAGATTAAGATTACTTTCATTTTTGTTTTCGATTGATGTCATTATTTGAGTAAAGATAAAATCATTACAACAAGTGTAAATATTGCATTTTAATCACAATTATATTTCTTTAACAAATTATTGTTTTGATAAATAACCATTAGTTTAAAAATAAATCAAATTTAAAAAAATGTAAGCAAGTTATAAATTCTCAAACTGATAAAAAAAAAAGATTGACATAAATAATTTAATTTTGTGTCAATTATTTTACTGAATAATAATACTTGTTTTTACTTTATGAACAAGTCAAGTTAAAGAGATAAAGCCAAATCCTCAACAGAAAATTAACAGTTTTTACAAATAAACCATTTTTTATCTTTTAAGTAAAAAAGATGATACAATTTATTTAACAATTAATATAACACCAAAATTCCGATATTAAATTCATTGCATATAAACATCTTTTTTATGGGCAGTTATTTTTATCATCTTTTTGTGACATCATTTTTTACTTTGTTAAGTTTAAGTTGATACTTTTGATTAAACTTATATTTTTGAAAAGATTTTTGTTCTATTTGCTTTTTTGAAACACATCTTTGACATTATTTTAATTGATACCGTTCTCAATGACATGTTAGAATTTAAACAACTTTTATAAAAATAGTTCTCTCAGAGTTATTATTAAAACTAAAACTGAAAGTAAATTCTCTAAACACAATAAAAATTATAAATTATGGTTTGCCAAAATAAACATTGTGAAAAGCATTAGTAATAAAAACGTGACATAAGTGGTAGATTTTAAATAACTACGTTTGACTTTTCCAAACTATTTCAACCTTTATAGTGCTGTGTAAAAGGTACGAGACAACGTTATTATAAACTTTATTATGTATTATAATAACTTTTCATGTATTATATTATCTAATGTATTATATTATCTTATGTTTTATCTTATATATTATAATATTTTTTTTGTTGGTTAAGCAAATAATGTCTTAAAGATTTTAAAGTATGAACTGCAATAGCCCTTTCGACCAATAGTCGTTCTATTTTATTCCAATCTAGTAATACATGTAAAATGCCTATATTAGACTATGAGAACCAATTCAAATGCTAATCCACTGCAAACCATAAGGCTACGTTTGACTAACGTAGATCATAACGCTACGTTGGTATCGACCCAATTTTATATTATTATAGAAGTATTTTAGATATCATGCTAGTGACACTTTTACTGTAATACTAACAGTGTTCTAACGTACAGCGTAAATCCAGTTATCATATTCAAGCAGTTAATCATATGCTAAAGCACGCCAATATATAACAAACTATAATGCTTTGTAATTTAGTTGACCCAACGCGTTCGGTCAACTAAATTATGATGGCTTATCTCCTTTGCAAGGTGATATTTTTATCAGTCCCGTTGAAATATAGTTAATTAGCAAGATTCTAGCAGTTTTGGAAATTGATTAGATGTTGCCCCAGCAAACATGTAAGCGTTAAATCAACGTTGAAAACCAGTCGCAGCTTAGAAAAAGCGTTACAGTCACAAAAACAACGTGCTTTCAACGTTGAATCAATGTCTGTTTTTGTATACTGAATCGCGGTAAATTGAAACGTTGAATAAGCGTTGAAATTGTAACGTATTTTAGCCTCTCAAAATAAAACGTTTATTCAACGTGGAATCAACTTACGCAAAAAACCACTTTAAAAACGTTTCGAAGTATATGCTTTATCAACGTTAAAAACAAACCGCTTACACAGTGGTCATTTTGGGGGTCAAAACCTGCAGAAAATCTAAAACATTTTTTATGTGTTCAAAAAGAGCCGGTATGAACATATTTGAAGTAAAAATTATAAATAACCCAAAAAGTTGCTTTAAAAAATAAAATATTCACTTTTTTAAGTTAGATTTGACACTTTGCAATTAATGCTAGGTTGCAAAAATGAATTATGTGTCTCATTACCTTAAAGATCAAAATGGATTTATTAAATAGAAGAAATTTCACACAAATATCATATCAAACATGATAATGGCAGAAAACATTTTTACTTAAGCATGAGGAATACCAACAGGGAGATTACCAACCTGCCCATCATGTATGACAGTTTTTAAATGTATTGCTAAAAAAAATTAACACAAATGAGGTTCTAGTTGGTTATATTAGGCACAACATAAGTGCTTACATCAAAGAAAATATTTTTTTACATAGAGTTAAGCATATCAATTTTGTTTGATCTGGTTGAAACTAATAACATTAGATAAATAACAAAATTGGGAATGTATGAGAATTTTTTTAATTTTTATGAGAGGCTTTGGTTGCTTTGTTTGACTTCTTTATTGTTCTTCTGAATCAGAGGCATCTCTAGAAATTTGAAGTTCCGGCATCTTCAAGAGTTTCTTGATGGGTTCAGGCAAGATCTCTGAGTTGTGCTTCTTTTTCTTGCAGTGGACATAAGCCTAAAAATTATATATAACATTTAATGGATGAAAGAAAATATTGCTATCAAAGCTAAATTGGGAAATTCAAATGAAAAAAGGTCCTGTTTCAGAAATCATTTAAATTAAATAAGCATGAAAAATTATTGAAATTGGAAAAATTTTGGATATGCTTAATTCCAAAATTACCTGTATCTTTGGATCACTGATGTCCATCAGTCTCAAGAAAAGGTCAGACATGCCATTGAGCCAGGATGATTTTCGAGCATGATAAAGACGGATTTTTTGAAGAAATTTGTTGTTAGCCTCTCCTGGTTCCTCATTGGTCATTCCAATTGGAAGAACACAAGCTTCAATGATTTGTTTTCCATGTTTCATAACCTTGTGAATTGTTGGGGACAACCAGTACCATTTTACATGGTCAAAAAAAATCTTCTCAGTCTCTTCACACAGAACTCCAAACTTGTCTGGATCAATGGCATATCCAGATGCAAGGGCAGACCAGAGTGTTCCAAGATTTTTAACCAGTTTGACAGGGACATCACAGATTCTTGCAACAATTTCTAAAAAAGAAAGAAAATATGTAGGAATATACAAATATCAAGATTTGAATTTCTCCAAATTGACAGCAAAGCTATGATGTGATGCTCATGCAACTTGACAAGACATAATATCTAAAAACTAAATTATTTCTGAATGCTTCCCAAAAAGTTTGGTGAAAGTACCAAAACTTGCAAGTGTAGCTACCTGGGTTTTGAAAAGCTTTGCGAGCAACATTTCCTGTTGTTGTAGTGCCAGCACCTCCATCCCGCCTCTGGTCAACAATTAGACCCAGCTGCTCCCGAAATTCTTGCTTGACTCGTGTCTCCCGATTTGCAACCAGTCTTTTTTCATCAGGGCTCATATGAAGATGGAACTTTTTGACATCTTGGCGATATCCAATGTTGCAAATTGTATCAAAACTCCGCAAGCCAAAGTGCAAGATGCTTAGGCCAAAATTCAATGTGCCAGGTTTAGGTGTAAAGACACCCTTGGGATTATTCATCTCCTTTGGTTTGGCATGGCAGATGGGGCAATTAGAAGATGCAGGATTTGATGTAAGTTCATTCAAAACTTTGCCATCAACCATGGTCAACAAACCCTTGAAAGTCACAATTACTTGATGATCAGATAGAAGTGAGAATTCTGTCAGTTCTTCAACTTCGTCAGGGTTCGTCAGGTTCTGGGAATGAGCTTCCCAAGAAGGTCATTCCCAGAGCCTGAGATGCAGCAAGCATGATTGCTCCATCATCATACGTGTTTCTGATCTCTGCGCTTACTACCAATTTTGACCGCGTTGACTTCTCCTCAAATGGGATTGGAGGACGACCACGTTTTTTGAGGGAGTTGAACTCAAGGGAGCTATAAAAACATTAGCTCTTTATATTCAAGTAGTCTAATATGAAGTAAACAGACAAATTTCTATTAAATAAACATTATGATGTATACTAAGTTTCTGTAGAAATTGAATTAGTCTTAACTTTTGTGCATTAAGTTACTGACAAAAAACTGCTATTTCTTTGACAACCCTTTAAATATACCTAGATGCTGCAGTCTTTGATGGTGTCCTCAGAAGTGTTTCTGGAATGTTAAAGAGCTTTTTCAAAAAGGTTGCTTCATTTTCAACAAATCTTCTGTAGTTTCTGTGGTGTTTTATTCTATATAGCCTGGTTACACCAGACAAAAATGAGTTCACATCACTTTCAATCTCTGCTTGAACCTCAGAATCCAGATCTCCTTCTATAAAGTTGAGCTGCTTCAAGATGAATCTCTTCACAATTTCTGTTTGATAAGGGATGTCAGCAAATCCATGCTCTTTGGTTGAATTGTTCTTCATCTCATGACACAAGTCAAGATATGTAATTTTCTAAAACATAAATTGTAATAAGATTAAGAAACATCAATATAAAACATTGAAAGAAGCCTCATTAGTGTCACAGGGATTTAGTTTCTCTTAAGAGAAAAAAATCATATCTTACCATTGTTCAGGAATTTTGTGGCCTTTTTCTTCAAGTTTAATGACACCAGGATGAAAGGTCTTTCAAAGACATAAATTTTGAGGTATCAATCATAAAAATCCATTAAAAAATGGCCGAGTTACAGAATTTCCAAAAATTTGGCGCACGATAAACAATTTCGAATTTTTACGCTCGCCGACAATTACGATCGCACGCGCACACATGCTTGCGCGAACTTTAAAAGTCAATAAAATAAGCTCCCGCAACTCCCCGCAACAATTTCATGTGTCATTTTAAAGGTCTTTATTTCCTTTTTTCACCTGATTTGGTCCCAATTTGTTGGGATTTGTTGGGAAAAAGTTGCAGCACTGTTTTTGACATGTAGTACACTTTTTTTCTGATGTTTGAAAAAATCATTACTATACATAGCAATATAGTTTTTAAATTTTTTTTTTTTACTTTTCTAATATTTTTTTATATGTATTACTAAAATTATTAAACAAAAATTTGAAAATTTTCACCCATTATTTTCTAAGACCCACTTTAAAAATAGTCATTTTTCAGTAAATTTTTCACTACTTTTTTCCTCCTGTTGTTCTACTCATAGCCAACCTATTTTTACTTCAATTTCTCTTAAACCTCATATTATGGCTCTCCAACTATCCTATTTTTTGATGAATAACATAAATTTAAAAAATCTTTTCATGACACTTTTGGGATTTTCTGCAGATTTTGACCCCAAAAATGACCACTGTGCGAGAGAAGCAAAAGAAAAAAAATAAAAGAACTAGCCACTGAACATCATGAAACTCTATTTTTAGCTTCTGCAAAAAGTGCAAATGCTGCTGAAGAATAAAAAAAAGCCTCTGTTTTAAAAAACAATATATCTAATGTTTTAGAGAAAAAGTTGATAAAACTTTGGATACAACCTTTCCCATTAACATGAGTGTAGAGAATGCTATTGTATTGAAAATGAATACTGATCTCAGCGATAAACAATATCAAATGATCAGAAACTCAGCTCTTGTACAAAACGTACAAATTTATCCTACCTTGCACGATATTTTTGTGGAAAAATTGAAATGCTATCCTGAGAATATACATTTTTCTGAAATTTCTGCAAAGTGTACTCTTCATAGCATGTTAGATCACACTGTGAGTAGAATAACAGAAATGATTGATATGCCTAATTTTGGTCAAAGTGATGAAATATTTGGAGTTTTATATAGAAAGATTGGTTTTGATGGAGCATCAAGCCAAAGTATTTATAAACAGAAATACGATACAAGCAACGCAAGTATAGAACTTAAGTGTGAAGAAAATCTTTTCAGTACAGCTTTTTTGCCTTTATTGCTCAAAGTAGAAGATGGCGAAATTTGGAAAAATGAAAATTTTTCAAGCTGTCATTTTTGTAGGCCTCTTCATCTACAATATAAAGTTCAATTTTATCCAGAGAAGAAGAACTAGATCTAAAAAATCAAATAAATACCTTAAAGACGTTTTGCAAAGTTTTTAATATTGCAGGAAGAATTTTGACATTTAATATCAGCTATAGGATTGATCTTACAATGTTTGATAATAAAGTAGTTAGCGCACTTACAGAGACAAAATCCACTCAATCCTGCAGTGTGTGCAATGCTAAACCCAAGGAAATGAACAATATTGATTTGTTAAAAGCAAAAACTGAGAATGACGTGGCCTTGGGGCTCGGAATTTCAGCTTTGCATTGCTGGATAAAATGCTAGGAGTTCATTCTTCATTTGAGTTATAAAATTGAAATTACAAAGTATAAGCGAAAAACAATTGAGGAAAAACTATCTGTAGACTTAAAAAAAAAAGAGATTCAGGTACTCTTCAGAGAACGGTTAAGCCTATACGTTGATATGCCTAAAACTGGGTCTGGAAACACGAATGACGGCAACACTGCCAGAAGAGCATTTAAAAATAGTGAAGTTTTTTCTGAAATTACTAAAGTTGATTGTGATATAATTAAAAGATTGCATAATATTCTCATAACCATATCTTGGGGATATCCTATTAATATCAATGAATTAGATTTATACTGCACTGAAACAGCTAAACGTATAGTGAGTTTATACAACTGGTATGTTATGCCTCCTACTGTACATAAACTGCTACTGCATAGTTCTTCTATATCAAATAAATTACCTTTGCCAATCGGGGTATAATCGGAAGATGCACATAGATAGTTTAAATAAACAGATAAGAAATTCTAGACTTAAGCACACGGCAAAAATATCAAGGTTAAACACAATGATGAATCAGATGCACTAACTTCTAGTAAGATCAGATCCAAAAATGTCAAGCATATCTTTTAGAAAACATAAGAACTATCGAGAAAAATCGTTACCAGATGAAGTTTTTAAATTAATTGTAATGTAAATAATAAATTTAATGTAAAAAAATACAGTATTTTTTCTCTATGTATCAACATCCTTTAAAAACCATTTTTATAAAAATATCAAGTAGAGTAATATATCAAAATTATGTGTTTTTCTTGAAGATTCTAATAACTAAAATTTTTTTTTACCCCTTTAACAGGCGTATGCGTGCATTTTACGCGTCGAAGCTGCGCGTTAAAAAGAAAATTATTATGTCAATTTTATTTAATTTTAGCCGTTTTTTGATTGTCCTGAGTCACTGTGCGTTGTTATTAAGTGATAATTTAAAGAAAACACGTCATAAAGTTAAAAGTCCTTAACAAAAAGTTTGATAGAGTGTAAATACAACATTTAATGTTTAGAAGAAAATATGTATTTTTTTTTAAAGGCCGAGGCCAAAACAATCAAAGCCAAGGCCAAAATTTTTAAGGCCAAGACCAAGGCCAATGCCTCAATTTAAGCCAGGCCAAGTACAAAGCCTAGGCCAAGGACTAACAACTCTGCTTTTTTATAATATTTTTTTGCTAGTTGTTTTTGTTTTCGTATAAAAAAAAAAAGACAAAAAACGCATAACTTCAGCATTAATACATTATTAACTTAACTATATATATTTACAACCATGTACGATTTATAACATTGATTTAACTAAATATATTTACAGCCAGGTACAATTCATTGTTAGTAAAATTGTGTGTGGATGAAGGGGAAATATGTAAAGCCAAATAGAGAGTAAAGTAGGGAGAGTTAGCCTATTTTTGTTTAATAAAGGTTTTAAGGTGAAGTTGGAATCTCCGCTTTCTTAAAAAATAAAAAATGTACAATTAAAACATAGAAAATAAAAAAAGATGTAAAACTATGTTTAACCTCCGGTATATAGCTATATAAACATAGTTATCAATTGATGTATAATAAAATCAAAGTTATAACAAATTAAAATATCTTTTAACTTTTGAAATTATTAGATTGTAAAAAACTTAATTAAAGCACACGAATTTTGAGTTTGATATACACAAAAAAATATTTTTATTAATACTTGATGAGTGATTTGAACTGAGATAAATTTGACGTACATGAATTAAAAATTTTTTTTGTAACTTTTAAAAAAATTTGTAACTTTTATTATATCTTTGATTTGCATTTTTTAATTTATGCCAGCAGAAAAATAAATTATGTATATATTTAATCACCTAAACTTCAAAACCTAAGACTTTGTAGTTTTAAAATAAAGATTAAGATTAAGATAAATTATCATTGGCATTAGGACTGATGCTTCATGCACTATAAAAAAAATTGGAAAAACTGTAAAAATCGATTAAAAATTATGCTTTGCCCATGCCAACAACTGGTAGTTATACCAGTTCTCTATAAAAATTGACTGCCACTTAAGATTTGATTAAAATTTAGGCAATAAGAATACTGCTTTGGCAAGTTTAAGAACGTCAATGATAAAGGAAAAGTTGATGATAATGCAAGTGACGTTTATGGAGAGAAAAACTCGATTCAAGATTTAATTGAACCATTTTAATGTGATGAAACATTCAAAGTTACAGTTACACACCAAATTATTTAACCTATCATAACAAAGTTAAAGAAAAATTTTAAAATGTTTTAAAGGTCCCCAACACAAAGTGTTAATTATTCACAAAAATACTTAAAAACTGAGTTTTGAAAGGTCATTCATTTAATTAATATGTAACTTCAAACATTTGTATGTTTATACTACATCAAATAAGGCTTATATTCATCGATAACTTTTA